CTACTTTAGGAAGAAATATAGTTACTAGGAAATTCATTATTTGAATTGTGTCATGGGAATAAATAGCTTTGACATTGATCAAAGCGTTCAAATAATAAAACAGTCAGTTGGAAGGAGTAGGTTTTGCCAAATCCTTTTCGGAAAATAAGCTATAAGCCTTTAGGAGAAAGTACTTGGGAGACCTGGTGATTCAAGTTTCTCATTTCTCTCACCCACACACTTAGTAATGCATTCTTTATTTGATAGTGGTTCAATTCTTCATTTTGTCTTGCATTAGTTTTTATGACTGTTTTTATTTTTTCTTTCCCCCTCAAGTGTTTGGAGGAAAAGCTTAAGTGCCTTAGTAGAGTTTTGGGGGAGGAGAGGATGAAAATAGATTATATTCCTGATAAAAATCTGTGCCCAATATGTCTTATACTATTTATCTTCTTTTGTTCATAGAGAAAAAATAATCTTTTCCTATAATTTCTTAACTAATAAATAGATGGATAGATAGATGCTATTTGTTTTCAGTCTTCTGGAAAGTTTTATTTAAAAAAGAATCTGCTCCATACAAACCTTTTCATGTTAGAAAATTAAGAGTAAGGTTGAAATTTAAAAAGCATCATGAATAACTGTATTAATTACCAATGATTTTAAAAACTAAACGAACCAATAATCCCTTCATTCATCTTCAAATAACTAGAAAGAATGATTCAGAAACCTTCAAAACAGAGCCCCAAACAGAAATCAGCATCTAGATCAGACTGCGAATTTGTGAAAACCCTTTTTTAGCACATTCTCTTTGCCAGCAGTTCAGAGCCCCTTTGCCTGGGCCCACATTCATAGGCTGATCCCTGGTTGTCCAGAACCTTCCATGTGGTATGTCCCTCATTCTTGTTCTTTTTTGGTACAGGGTCATGACTCAACTTTTCCAGACTTCATCACATCAAAATTTATTAGGCCTATGTTTCTCTCTGTAAAGATCTTTCTTTTCACAAGGAAATAGCTAGCTGTCCCGGTAAACTCATACACACTGTTATGGGAAAAAAATGACAATTTCATTATGTACTGTAGTTAGTAGATGATGTATTTGTATTTTAAAGGCTATTTAAAGGTATCTGTGAGGTACATAGATTTCAAATATTTACTTGAATGCAATGGTTTTCAAAAATAAAAGCGATTTTTTTGAATATTTATTTTTTAAAAATTATCCTTACTGAGTAATAAAAACCAATTTTCAAATAAGATTTTGTTTAAAACACATAAAAGTGAAAATGCTTTGGTTGAAGTGGGGGTAGAAGATCAGTAGCCCTCCCCTCCTCTTCCTCCAACTTGCTGAGTGGCCCCAGGGCATTTCTGAGGAATTTCTACAATTCCACAAACACAGCCTAAAGCCATGTCCTTAAGGCCGTGGGGAAACTAAGAGGGGAAATGTTAGGCATAGGACTAGTCCTTTTAAACCAGTGGTTTTTGAAAAACGGTTAATTTTGCCCCCCACCCCCACGTGGACATCTGGCTGTGTCTGAAGCCATGTTTAGTTGTCATAATTTAGGGAGTGAGGAGAGGGGTGCTACTGGCCTCTGGTGGGTAGTGGCCAAGGGAGGCTGCTGAATAGACTACCATGCACAGGACAGCCCCCTACAACAGAGAATCTCCAGCCCGAAATGTCATAGTAACACTAGAGTCGAGAAGGTCTGCTTTAAAGCGAGTAGAGCACCAGGAGCTGCTGCGGGGTCTGGTGGGGAGAAAGGAAGACTCCGGCACACCCGCCCCCTCACCCTCCTACCCCTCCAGCCAGAGCCTTAGCTGGAGAGCAATCAGGCCTTGCCCCAGGGCTGTGAAAGTTGAGAAAGCAGAAACTGCAAGACTATAGGATTTAAAATTTTGTTATATTTACATGTTAACTTGCATCGAGATGTCCCTGGGCTCAACTACTCTTCAGGGAACAGAGCAAGAGCCAAGGTTCTTAAACAGTGCTTTCTGGTCGGGGAGTGGGGTTGGGGGATTCAACCCCCTGTCATCCTACCTCCAGTATTAGTTATTTGATACTCTGCTTATCAGCACATCGGATCGTAGAGAGGTTCTCTTAGAAGAAAATCCCATTTTA